AAACCAGTCGCACTAGGAGCATATAACATGGTGAGAGGCATTGGCTTAGTTAACCGAATAATAACGAAGAATGCTCCGTAGACTTCTGTGCCCTTATTTATTTGGTGAATCCAGACGGCATACGTGTACAAGCACAAAAGTTTCCACGAGGCTTAGTGGGTTTCGTTAGAGAAAGGGAGAGACAGTGAATAAAATCCAATTACCAAATAGATAGAACAGACAAAAAATCTGTTATGTTCACTTCAAAAACTCTTTAATCGACCGCCACCTAAAACTCATCTGGAAATACAGCCAGCATATACAGAACTATCATTGTGTAGAGAACCTTAGGCAGGTGAGATAGCATTCCCCCAGAAGCACTGAAAACAGAACCAGACAACTCAGAGAACATGCACATTCCACTTTTTCAGAAAGAGTGAAATGAAGGAAAGGTTTTTATCGAATAGAAGAAGGGTTCAGCGAAGAAATTTCTTTTCAACGACTTCATTTTCAAGCTGTACAGTCGTATTTATATTACAGAAAAAGGTTATTAAGTGGCACTAAATAATTGCTCAGTCAATGTACGTAATATGTGATAAAAGTTATAAGGGGTAGAGTTGAAGTGGATAAATTACAAAAATATGAAAGATTGTTTTATAACAAAAATGTCAAGTGTTGTCTAAAAAATTATGAAAATTAGGAGTACGATTACGATAAGAATGAAGATGTGAAGTGAAGTGGAAAGAATTCAAGTGGTAAAATAAAATAAAAACTAGAAAGGACATTATTATGACCAAGGTAAAGAAAGGGGTTTGACAAAACGCTTTTGAACACATAATTTAGGTTTCTGTTCATGTATAGCTAAAGCTTCGGCTATGCATAAGTGAAGAAAACGTAAACTTTTGGATCGATTCGATTTTGCCATGTAAATAACTTTGAAAGATGAATCACGTGGGGCTAAATGACCAGACTCTAACAGGTGATCACAAATAGACGACTTTGCAGTTCTACGTTCGCCTTTCATTAACCAAACCGGATAGTGTTCAGCTACACGTTTTCGGAGATTACGCTTACAACGTCCAATATAAACAGCTCCACAAGAGCAAGTAAAAGAGTAAATGCACATAGATGTGGACAAAAGCGGTAATCTATCCTTGACGCATTGTCTGATCATATTTCGGCTGGTAAAAACTAGTTGCAGGTCAGCTGCAGGAAAAGTACGTTTAACACATTTAGATAAACGATTTTTAATCAATTCTGAAATGGTGTCACCTTTGAATGCAAGACTCATAAACAGCTTTTTCTTTGGTACTGTGACTTGTCTCGGGGCGGATTCTTTCTTGATGTTACGTTCAATGAACCTTGTGGGATAACCATTGTTAAGGAGATTTGATCGAAGGTTATCTAGTTCCCTATCGATTGTCTCTGCAGAGCAGATTTTACGAATTCTGGAGCATAAGGAATGAATAAGATTTCTCTTTCTCCCTAAAGGTACCCAACTGTTGAAGTTAGTGTACTGCCCAGTGAATGTTGGCTTTCGGTAAATCGACCTTAGAAGCGTTCCATTCTCTCTTCTATCTAGCTTAACATCAAGGAAGTGAAACGAAGAATCCGACTCTTCTTCGATCGTGAAAAGCAAAGATGGGTGAGAACCATTAAATATTCTAAGAAGTTCGGCAGTTGAAGTGTTTTCATCACATACAATGAAGGTATCATCAACATATCTTTTATACATAAACAGACTATCGATGGTTTCCTTTAGTGGGCCATTCTCTAAGCTTGCCATGAAAACGTCCGCTAAGAGCGGTCCTAAAGGAGACCCCATGGCGACTCCATCCCTTTGGTTGTAGATGACATCATTAAATCTAAATTGCACATTCAGTGTGCATCTCAATAGTAGTTGTTTAAGATAATCAGTTGGTAAGCCAATGTTCATGCTATTTGAATCAATATACTCGCATAGATAGCAGATAGTGTCTACTAGTGGTACATTTGTGAACAATGAACAAATATCTAACGAAATCATATGCTTACCAGTCACATTAATTTCATCAACACAACTGACGAAGTCAAAAGTGTCTGATTTAGATTTAATCTAACTGGTTCCAGAATTTCCGCAAGCCATTTAGCGGTAGAGTGATACGGTGAATTCAGCATATCCAATACAGGTCGCAGAGGGACATCATCTTTGTGCACCTTTGGAAGACCATATAAACGAGGGATAGTTGAACCAGATGGTTTAAGCTGTTCATACATATATGGAGTAATGATGCATTCTTGCTTCAATTTCGTCAAAGTTTTAGATAATTCCTTCTCAATATTATCTGTCTTGTCCTTTTGATCGGGTGATTTTAGAAATTTTTCTTCATCACTCAGGATGGTACATAATTTATTGACATAATCATCACGATTAAGAATAACAATACCTGATCCCTTGTCTGGACGAATCAGTATTATGTTTTTGTTGTTAAGCAATTCATTTAGTTGTCTTTTGTGTTCTTTTGATAACATTTGTCGTTGTCTGCCTTGCGTTCTTTGGTACTGGTAATAACAAGGAAGTTTTGAATTGTTCAACGTCTTCGCTAGACATTGGACTCAAGTCATGTGTTTGATTCATGAGATTTTCAAACTGAACTTTTGTGTCTCAGGGTGAATTAAGCCTCTGGAAGGAGTATCACGGTATTATGTTTTCTGCTCCCTAAGCAAACTATTAGCAGCACCATCGCGGAAAGACTAAGAAATTTTGTTGATGGAAGACTTCGTTCATAACAGGATTGAATCAGGAAAAAACAAGTCATTCGCGGATCCAACTGCAGCACTGTAAAGCTTACAACATACTGTGATTGGAACACTTTGAATTTCCAAAAGGATCCGTGACGTGAATTTTCACGTTAAAATATAAAATTTTCAAGTGACTAATCTAATGAGAAATCACCGTAAGCAGACCTTTAGAAAAGGTTTGCTTGAATCTATATAAGTTCAGGTGTTATGACCGATAACTGCTTCTTTAACCCGGTGATACAAGTAGCAAATCACAGCACCCAAATAAAATATACCATAAGAAACGAAAATTTTTGTTGATTTTCCGGTATCAGAAAGTTCTGTTGGATACTGGTTACATCAGATGTAGTTATTATCATCATGCAAGTTAAGAAAGCTATCTATGCAAACTTTCTACAGTGACATGAGTAACCAGAATATGTTTTTATCCAAAGTTATATATCAAAAGTTAAACGACCGGTACTGTAAGGCTGTGGTAAGTTTTGTTGTACAAATGAAATTCGACAAACTCCACTACTCTTGACTAGGATTTAAATGGCCGCCCTACAGGCTCTGTGGTCACTCAAGACTAATCCTTTTTATATTTAGTGTTTTTGACGTAGAAGTCAGTTACAGCAGTGTGAACGCACATGGCAATTATAAGTCGTGATGATGTGGACGGATAATATTTCTCTTTATAGATAACCTTAAGACAGGTATCTACAATTTGTTTCAATAATTATGCTTCATATAGTTTCACTTCCACCTGTTATCGCCAGCCACGTAGGGTAATACTAGTGTACAAAACCCAAGTTAAACGACCGGAATAGGTAGTTTCACTAGTGGATTGTTAAACACTGGCTTAGTTAGTCTATTGAGAGATCTTGTCCTTTAGATTACCGAGTTTCAGTAAATCGTAGAGGATTATCACTCCTCCTGAAACTCCTGACTGAATTCCAATAATGCATTAGCACATTAAACTGTGCATCTATTACTGAGTAAAGTTAAAAGTTGAGCTGTAGCTAAGCTGTGATGTATGCAAACTTTATTTAAAAAACCAGTTGGAGCGATAACTAAACATTTATCAGAGCTTTGCATGGTATCCAGCTCTCTGTAAAAACATTAAAGAATAGAGTCGCTAGGTTTTAGTTGATTATTGCAGTTTCTGTCTAAGTGATCGATTCTCGATCGGCACACTCCTAAACCTCACTTAGACAGTAGTGAACCCGGAAAAGAAGAAAGGCTGAGTGTGAGGCTAACAGCTACAGCCCATAAAGACGCAAGCCCTACTGAAACTCCAAAGTTTAAGGCATGTTTTACGCAACACGCAAAGAAATGAATAAAGAAACAAGGTCAATATAAGATAAACTATTCTGATAGGCTCCACGAATGATCAGCAGTCAAGACTGCTGAAGTGTAAACTGTATTGAATTCTTCAAGAATATGATTATTTACGGTTCGTAGCAGAAGCAATTGCAAAGGCAAAGCCGGATAATACTTCTTAATTAATAGTTATGCTTGACAAACTAATAGACTATAGGAAAGCTAAGGTAAGCAAGCCTACTGAAGTTTGGAAACTACTCAAGACCAACAGTTGAAATGTTGGACAGAGCACTATGAAGAGAGGTGGAATGGTTCACGAAACTGCCAAACATCAAACCGTGAACATGATATCTGTTCACTGGCACTGACAATTTTGGTGCTTAACCGTAAACCTCTCAAAACAACAGAGTCTAATTTTCTTAGACTCAAGAAATCTTCGAGATCAAACTACAAACTACATGGAATATATAGTTTTTATATCCCTTCATGATATCCAAGTGTGCAAAATTCTGTCATTCAAATTATCTCCACTATATATAAAATTCTAAAATGTCTATCGTCATATATTTATAGAGTATACTGACAACATGTAGGGATTCTTACTTTAAACTTTGTTAAAGTACATTTTTATTACAGATATCTGCACATTTTGGCTTCTTCAATATATAATAAATTAGTAGTTATTTATTATTATTTTTTTAAATGAAAAAGAAATGCACATTGGGAACATTGTTGATTCCCCTGTCTTTATCTCTTGTGTTACCTCACTTCAGATATTCAAATGAAATCAATTAGTTTAAAATAAAAAGATATAACAATAAATAACTGTTTTATACCATAGCCACGCGGACAATAATGACAGCATCATAAGTGTCAATGTTGACTAGTTGAAGAAAACACTTTTTCCTATTTATCCAAGTGAGTATACATTTTTCTCGCTAATCCTTCTTTTTATTCGGTACTATAGATCGTATTATTTGAAAGCTGCCTTCTAAATCAGCTTCTTTCTGTAAAGACTGATCAATTTCATCGTTAATTAAGTTACAAAAGGTTGGCTGTAAATTTTCAATCTGATTTGATATCTTACTTAGACAGAATACAGCTGCAGCATTGTCAAATTCACCACAGTAATTCGGTGCTGAAAATATTGTCACTAATGACCGATTTGCATAAAATTCATAGCCATCTTCAACAACTTGATGTGCTCTAACTATAAGATCAAGATTGAATCTTTCTAAAAATTGATCAACAATATCAGCACCAAACATGTAGGATACACCACGTTCATTCGACTCCCAACCACTTGGTTCTGGTGTATTTTTATCATTTGTGTCGTCTATATACCATGGATCAGCCCATAATAAATCGCATAATATTCCAGCATCTGGTACATCACATGGTCGTGTTAAACTACGGATTTTCAACTTTAAATCATTCAAATCACATAAATCTGGTGTTAAAAACTCCGGGGATAAACCACCATGACAACAAAATATTTGATTTTCAATGATAGCACATACTGGTAAACAATTAAATGTATCAATAAATACTTTCCATAATTTTGCAGAAAATCTACGCTTACATTCATCAAAAAATCCATAAATTTTTGTTATTGACTGACTTTCATGATTTCCACGTAATAGGAAAAATCGTGATGGATATTTTAATTTATAACATAAAAGTAGCGAAATGGTTTCAAGGCTGTGTCGTCCACGGTCTACATAATCACCTAAGAATAAATAATTAACATTTTCTGGTTTACCACATAATTCAAATAAGTGTAATAAGTCACAATATTGTCCATGTATATCACCGCATATTTTAATTGGTCCACGTAGTGTTAACACTATTGGTTGAGCTAAGAATAATGGTCTTGATCGATGGCATAACATTGTCATTTCTTCTTCTGTTAACATACGGCCTTTACGACCTCTTTCACCAACTTTCCATAAACGTTCAATGAAATCATCAATTACTTTTAATTCATTTATTTCAAGTTTGTACTGATTTTTGGATGAATTAGAAGTATTTATGTAACCACCTATTTCATTGGATGGAAATGGATTATTGAAAATGCTCACTTGATTTTCAGATGCATTATCAGTTTGCGTGAAATCAACAACAGAGTTAATACAGTTGTTTACATTTTTATCTAATTCTTTTACATTTCTACGCTGAATTCTATTAACATTTGTAAACATTTCATAATTTAAATGAAGATGATTTGTTTTTAATGACTAACACTAGTTTTTGTCTTTTGTTTTATTATTTTTACCAGTATTATAGAGATATTAAACGATTTCTATTCAAATCTTTGAATACGTAGAAGACATTTTTTTTACATAAACTGAATTCAAGGAAACTTCTTTTGTTTTAACAATAAAATGCTTGATAAAATTCATAGATTACATCCAGTCTTTATCACCATCACATGTTATACCACCATGATATCATCCTATGAAGTATTTTACTTTTGCCTTATCGATTGAGGAAGATTTAAAATTTTACTAATCGCCTATATAAATAATTGACTATATTGATTAATATATTATGACATATAATCTCATTTGACAAAGGCATATAATACTAATCTGAAAATACGCCTTTCGGTTGATAACTGATAAATACAATGAACGTGTGCGGCTTAAACATACTTAAAAATATCCTGCCAATAAACCTTGAACTATAAAGGTTACTTACATGTGGAGTAGGAGTATCAACGTCCAAATCATCCAAACTATCCTTTATTGACGAACAGCTTTACATATGTAGTTTTAATTTAATGGTTGTAAATTTCTCTTCGTTGCCACAAAATATATTTATGGCTGAATCAATTAATGATATTTTATTCACACACCTTAACCCTGATACTAATATAGTAGAGGGTAAATACACGTGTAAAGAATATGAAAAAAATTATTTGCAGTATATCTTAGAAATATCTGATCCACTATTTTTGAATAATTTAAATTTATTAGCAGAATTATATTTCAATTCAAAGTGTCATTGTCCAAGTTATCAACACTTTCATCGATGTAATGTTGTCAAATATATTCAAGATTATTTGATGAGACTTATAAACTTCACAGGAAAGCGACATAGACGATTGTTGAAAGAAACTGAAAACAAAAATATATGTGATAAAAAACGATTAAGGATGACAGTAAAATTATCACGGGAAATCAAAAACTGTCAAACTGATCAACTCAATGCAATCATTAAAGTTCGAGTACATCCTCAACGAAATGAATATGTAAGTTATCCTTTTTTATTTATTCAATTACAAACAAGATACTAAAACAATATAAGTAGTACGAGTTTATTATGGAATTCAGTCTCATCATTTAACTAACGCTAAATTAATAAAATCCCCCTGAAAAAGTTTATATTGACATCATTGCCCAGTTAAGATTTAATGAGTGGGCTGGAAATAGTCAGAGAAGAATATGATAACACCTCAGGAAACACTATAGGAATATAATGTCTCCTTTTCTCATAGTACTATCAGTTATAAAATCGAATCGAATCGGGTGGACGAATCGATACATGCAGTTGCATTGGTGAATCTCAGTAAAGTAAGAAAGGCGAAATTAATATAAAATATCAAAGTAATTGAAGATCAGCTGGATGATTTTCATGCCATTTTGTTCTCTGAGCTGGAGAGAACTCAATGCAATCACACCAAAAAGACCAATTTCACTGCATGAAATTACATCCTTTTGTCAGTTCACAGATCATTAGATCGCGTCGGATCTCAATGGCTTAGTGGTTTACGAGCTGGCTTTGTAAGCGGAAGGTCATCGGTCTGAACCCCGAAGTAAGTGATACTGAAGAATCCCAAAGTAGGATGAAACATCTATCCAGTAATCCCAGCTTTTTTTGTGGTTCGCTAACCGATTTCAGCTCATGATAAAATCCTGCAACCAGTCAAAACCCTGGAAACCAACACTTTTTCACCCAGTCATTTTACAGGTTCTTACCAACTTCAGGCTAGGTGAGACTATAGTGGTTATAAAAGAATGGAAATGAATATAAATTGATGATGACATGAGCTTAAAAGACTGTGATGTCTACATTTTGGATGACTTGATTTTCTTTGCTATAATTCTGAGACTGAAGCATTGATATAAGAATAACACTTGTGCACTGTGGTAGAGTGTAATTCCATTATGGGTAAATTTTGTTTGATAAAGTCTCACAGCGTTATACAGTAATGTTTACTGATGACTTGATATGATTATGAGCAATAAATTGTGCTCGAAACGTCATCAGTAAACATTACTGTATAACGCTGTGAGACTTTATCAAACAAAATTTACCCATAATGGAGACTGAAGCATGTTCATTCTTATATAACCACTATAATTTTAGATAGTCCGCAGCTGATGAGATTCTGCGAAACATCATTCTGTACTTTAAACTCGTTCTTTTTTGCTTTAGCCCTCCATTTACAGCTTCAACTCCACTTTTGCTGTTCTGGTTGTGTTTATTTGTGTGGACGTAGATCTCCACATCAAATTTCCTTTGAGTTCACGAACACTATACAAAAAAAGAATACGGCATGTGAATAACCGATAGATGAGGTTAATGATTGTGTGTGATATTAAGCCTAAAATTATGGGATGAAGCGAAAAGTTTATAACTGTGGATGGAGGTGCTGTGAATACAGAATCTAAGGGCTTTATTGTGTAAAATAAACATTAACAGGCAGACAGCCTTGTTGACATGGCTGAAAATTATTCAGTACAGCATTGATCTATTCATCACTAACTCTCATCATCGAAATTTTTGAATATTTTCATCAGTCTTGAAAACAATTATTATTTAATTGTCTCACTTCTATGTGACTTTTTGACCAACAATAATAATGTTAATTGATTCATATTTATGAAAATTTCCACCTTGATTCACTTATCAGAATGCGATGAACTGATTATAACATGTATTTTTCATAATAAATGGTCACCTAATTAAACATTATTTTATGAGGGCTAACGTTAGTTTAAATACACCGTAAGATAGAAAGTCCTCTTGTCTAGATTACAAATTTGCAGAAAAGGTGATGTTAAATGTTGGAAGTAGTTAAACTGCAGGAGGCTGAACTCACCGTAGGTTTGTTACTTAACCATGCTAGTAGGAAGAACGTGTCTATAATTTCCAGCAAAATCAATATACACTTTGTATTTTGAATCTGTCTCTGAGCGCCAAATCCAGATACTTGCCCACTGAAATGTGTATGTGACAACTAATCTCGTATAGAACTCGCCTTAGATGAACCATGTAAGGGTTAGATCACTTCAGTCTAACTAGTGTGTAGCACTGTTCGAAGTGGGTTTCTTTGACTCACATTAATTTGTAGAACAGTACCGTCTTTTATTCATAATTATTAGCACAATGCGGTTAAGAATATTGAAATTAATGTATTAAAGTAAACTTTTAGCGTAAATCTTGGTCAACAAGCTGTAGCAATTAAATCTCCTGAAGTGGTAAGATGAAACAGTTTCAAAACTAATATATGTGTAAAATTTGGGCACTGTGGTGGTAAGTAATTCCATATTAGTTTGTTTATTAGATGTATCCCACAGTGAAACAGTATTATATACTGGATGACGTTGCAAATACAATTTAATATTGTTCATAATCAAATCAATTATAATCACACGACTTCGAAACTTGAATTTTATAGGTTTCTTTGTCTTCTGCTATTTATCGTAGGGGTATAGATAGATATTTCGAAAACATTAACTCAAAGATGGAGGCAATTATGAATTGGAAAATCAGGAAGGGGAGCTTCCAGTGTTAGATTGCAGCTTAAAAAGGAAAGAAGATGGGTAGTTAAACACTAGTGTTTATAGGATAGCCACACATTCAAACAGATTTTGGACTTCCGATCACCCCACCCAATCTATGTCAGTGAAATTCCAAATTGGTTTGTTTATTAGGTGTATCACACCATGAGTGAAACAGTATTAGTATTTACTGGATGACAATGTTTCGAACACAATTTATTGTTCATAATCATATCAATTGGGATCACACGACTTTCAAACTTGAGTTTTATAGTTTTCTTTGTCCTGTCCTATTTGTCGTCGTTGGGGTAGTAGAATTTTCCAGATATCACGGACAGGTGATGAATCTTTCCTAATACATGTATTTGCAGCTGATTCGATAAACATAATCCGATATAGGATAGGATGACATTTTTAAAATCTAATGTCACAGGGTGGAGGGAGGGAGAAATTGATAACAGAAGCTTTGTTTATCGAATCAACTGCAAATACCTGTCATAGGAATGATTCAACACCTGTCCGTGATATCTGGAAAATTCTACTACCCCAACGACGACAAATAGGACAGGACAAAGAAAACTATAAAACTCAAGTTTGAAAGTCGTGTGATCCCAATTGATATGATTATGAACAATAAATTGTGTTCGAAACATTGTCATCCAGTAAATACTAATACTGTTTCACTCATGGTGTGATTCACCTAATAAACAAACCAATATGAAATTACTTACTGTCAGAGTGCCCAAGTTTTACACATATATAAATATGTCAGTAAAAATAAGATTTCAATAAATAAAAAATCCCCCTTTAGACGCTTAGAAAACAGGAAGATTGAGTGAAGAAATATTTACTTTTCAACTAGACCCTCATCTCTGGCTCTACTCTAATATGGGTTAATAGCTAACGAAGAAAATCAATACAGATTTAAAAGGTAGAAATGGATAGAATAAATTAATTTTACAAGGATAACACGTAAATTAAAGATGCAGTGGTCAAAATAAATAAAATAAATAATTTAGACAATTATAATTTTGTAGGTTTAGGGGGAGGGGGTCGACGCAGTCCTGTTTATCCATTCTTGTGACGATGGCCACGGTAGGGAAAGTGGCTGTACAAATTTTTTCTGTACACATAGGTTTGGTTTCTTCAGGTGAATGGCAATCGCCTCAGCCGTCTGTAGAAGACGAACTCGCAGAGCATACTGAGCATAAGATTGATGCTAATACGGCATTTAAAATTATTCATCGCATTCCGACTTATCAATCAAATAAGATTGTCTTATTGTGTTTTCTTTTAAATGTTTATTTAGATTTCCAACTCAATACAACTGAATGTTAATGAAGTCTTTCCACAAATCGACATCATGACATATTACAATATTTATGTAAATTTACATCAGTGGACTGATGAATTTTTCATATTTAATGAATTAGTTGGAAACAAGTCATTTGTAGAAGACAATAATAATAATAATAATATTAATGTAACACCGTTCAGTGATCCATCTTCAGCAATGAATACTGTTTCTTTTAACCCTATGAATAATGATCACGGTGGTGATATGGCAGTTAAAAAAAATCAAATAAGTATGATGATTGGTGAAAGCTTAGACTGTTCCGCTGTTAATCACTTTTGCCAAATGGATGATGAAGACGATGATTCACATGAAGGTAAGTGGTTGATCAGCAGACGAAGTATAACTTATTAGTAATATTTATAAAATTATTGAATTGAATTTTTGATTTTCCCGTCGATTGATTGGACCGAAGTGCTCGGTCTCAGGTTGACATGTCGGCTTCTTGTGCAGATGCTTCGACGATGTCTGGGGATTTGATTTGTATACAATTGGTGGATGGTGGCTAGCAGTGGAATCCAGGATGCGCATTTCGTCCTAATTGGGACTCGTCATCTGGATGTACCTGCATTTCTCAGTGAGTGCTGATGTTCCCACCGAGGCTCGAACCCAGTGCCCATAGTTTCAAACGCCAAAGCGTTATCTCGTGGCCCAAGTGGTCTAGTGGATAACGCTTTGGCGTTTGAAACTATGGGCACTGGGTTCGAGCCTCGGTGGGAACATCATTACTCACTGAGAAATGCAGGTATATCCAGCTGACAAGTTCCAAATAGGACGAAATGCGCATCCTGGATTCCACTGCTAGCCACCATTCACCAATTGTATATTTATAAAATATTGTTTATTGAACTCCTATGAATATTTCTTAAAAATATTATTATAAATCGTCGGTTGACTGGAATGTTTAAGTCTTTATGGAAATATGATCACTCATACTAGTGTAACAACAGAAGACAAGGGCCAGGCAACAGATCGTTTTATTATGAAAATCAACACGTATTTATACATCTTTCAACTACATTATTATAGACAAGCGCAGTCATCTGATTGGTTGTTTAGGTAGACAAACGCAGGCTTCTGATTGGTTGTTTCGGGATTCCTTGACAAATAGAGTTCTCTCTGCGAATCATATTCTGCCACGTTAACTTTGCTGTGATTGGTTGTTGGCTCAGGCTTGTTCATATTTTCTCACGGCCCATATTAGTGACCTAGACCTTAACGTAGATTAGTGCCAACCAATCGGCTAGCAGCCTGCTCTCACCACACTAGGAATAAATGTACATTCAGATGACGAGTCCTAAACAGGATGAAACGGGCCGCCTGGCCTCCATTGTTAACGTCACCACCAGTCACTTAAGATCATGTGAACTCTATGACTTTCGTTACCGTTAGTAGAATGAAAAAGTAATGAAATGCAAAATTATAGCCGGTAGTTTTCAAAATCACAGCTAACTTTCAAGCGACTGATCCACAAAACTCACACCTTGATTGCATTGAAGACATTAACTGCTAGGTGAATGAATTACTGATAACTGTTCATTAACTGTTATCAAACTTGCTATTCTGCTAGATTCTATTGTGCCATTCTCAATCATTCTGAGAAAAATGGTGGTTGTAGGAGTATTTAGCACCTTTTTAACGGTTGACCAAATTGTTGACCAAGCTTCGGTTCAGCAGGGATTTGTTATTGGCTGATTGAAAGTAAGATGAAACCCAACAGTTTAAAGCCCAGCAGTTCGAATCATTCCTGAATCTCAGATATTCTCTTCAATCTGAGTTTTAACAAAGTTAAACTAAGCATAATCGACATTCCTATTATTTATTATGATCATAACTGCAGCTGTGAACAGTTCGAATCAATGTTTTCATGACTCAACCAAAAATCGTCATTATATATACAAAATAATTAATTATTCAAGTATTATTTATTTTATAATCAGTCTCCAGATTAATCATTTCCTGTTTTTCTGATCGATAATGAAAAAATATGTCAGAGTAAAGTTCCAGTGTCAAAACGTTCAGTACTATAATTGAAGAAAATTTCACGTTCTTCACTAGACTCCTTACATCTCTGAACAATCATTATTTTTTAAATTTATGTACTTTTATTTTGACTACAACTTGATTCGACACCGCATTTTTGGTACAAGTATGGAGTTCTCAGCGTGTGATATCCGTAGCCCAAATTTTGCCGGCCGACCATTGATATCAAATGTGCGTCAGCAGGGGATCGAACCCCGGACCATATGCATGGTTGGCGAGTGTCCTAACCGCTGTGCCGCCGGCATACACTGTAGCATTATTTATTATTAATACTTTAGCTGGCTCCATAACTGCTCAAAAGCTTTCATCATTTCTTCACAAAATCCTCCCCCAAACACCTGACTGATCGCTCACTGTTCCGGTTCCGCTTTAGGGCCTACTTAGCGTTACGTATCACTCAATTGTCTTCTCAGAATTCGCATAATCTATCACCATTTCTTTGTGCAGATTAATTAGGCGATCGGCTAATGGCTAGTTTGCTGCACTGCCAATGTTCCTTTTCTTCGTATGCTTCTCAGGCGGCTATCTGACTTTCAGCGAGCATAGAAGACAGATGTCGATGAAGGTCTATAGATGTATTCATTTTAAGCTGTATCACGAATATAACATGGAAGGTAATCACGGAAATCAGTTGCAAATACAAAAAGACTTCAAGGTCCCATTAAAGTCTTTCATCCATAGATTAAACCAAGTGACCAGTACTAATCTTCCTACGAGACGTGATGGCTGAATGTAGGAGTGGAAAGCGGGTTTTGAACATAGGTATTTTCTACCAATCGTTCAAATAGGATGAAGCCAAAGATTAGTCGGAAAATCAACTAGGGACGAAAACAGAATATCATTCCACGAATTCACCAACTGTTGGTCTGTGCCACATACAGAGTTGCAGATTATCTACCTGGCATCTTCAGCACGATAAAAATCAATGATTGGTGGGATTTTGTTTAGGTGACTCCAACTCAATCTCAATAACCGAAATATATTCACTTGTCTTCATAACTGAAATCAGTTTTCAGCGAAGTCTGTGCAATTTGCAAATTGCTAATTTGACATATGAATATATTTATATGACTGCAAAGTAAGCTAGTAGATCCACTAAGAAGGCACTTTTCACAAAATTATCAGATTTTTCTCTCCCATTGGATACACTCTTTCTCAAAGAGATCAGTTGTTGTTTAATTTTGTCGTCTGGTAGACTATTTCTACTCCTAAAACAAAGGTTGCTTTTGATAACGATGACATACCTTTCAGGGAATGCTCAAAATTATGCATCATGACAGTCATATTAACTGACTGACTGGTTTCAACATAGAACCGTCTCGAGGACCCCAACCAGTCAGGAAGTCTACATTTTCCTACGTGGCAGGCTTAAACTAACTGTTGTAGATTTCATCGACTGGTGCCATGTTTTGGTTTGATGGCCACTATCTGTTTTTCAATCTAACCCTATGTCAGCTAACATCGCCCGTCAGTGGAGGAAGGCGATGACTAGGCATGCGTAACACATGTTCCAACCATCTCAATCGATGTAGCTTCACAGCCTCGTCGATTGATTTCCGCCCCCCACCTTATCTAGCACTTGACCGACGCCTCACCTCAGTATTGCCTACCCTGTTATACCACTTCACACGGGAGACAGAATGCAGACACCTATGATCAAAGAAAACTAGCCTGGCTTTTAATGTCTTCCACTTTTATTAGCCAGGTCTCATTCACAGCCAGCCATAATGCAGGACACAGCGAACTGCTGTTGGGCAGTACACCCGCCCTTTGGTCGATAACCAGCTGAATATAACATCTACGCCAGAGACGGCGTAAAATGACATTTGCCAAACTAGCCTTCTGTGTCCGTGCTGAGATTTCGTCAGCGATCGACCAGTTGACATTGACTGATGCAACCTCCCAAATAAGTGAAGTTGTTGACACCCTCTACAAGCCACTTCACTCCCTATTTCTAAGCTAGGAATCAATGTAGTCCATTCCAGTCCTGTAGCAGCATCTTACATTTGACAACACGAGTGAATCGCATTCCAAACATTCGAAGATTGCTGCTCTTTAATGTGTTCAGAAGACTCGGCATTTTGTCAGCGTCCTCACCTAGGGGGTCAACGAGATTATTCTTTGGTAACAAATCAAGCCATCAGTCGCTGAAGTGATTTAAGGTTAATCTGGCAGTCATTTAAACTTATTAATATTTCACAGTTTTTCATTTTTCTTATATATAGTACGAACTCATCACGTAGTTTATTGTTTTTGTTGCAAATTTATTTGGAGATCAAAATTTACCTATCTTATATTGATCTGCTTTATTTGACGGAAACCAAAAAATGAACGGAAGATTTTGCCGGGGAAAATTTGGAACCAGCCAACTGCAATTTGAAGCTACAGTTCATCGAATATCCACTATCTGACATTGTAAACTATGCAACAGACTGTAAATCAACGATTTCAGGAGGAATAACAGAAAAGTGTGCAGTAAAAGTTGATGACGATAATACAACAATATCGGAATGGATCTCAGAAGTTTGCTCTCAAGGTAATGTATTCTTTGCCTACACATCAACATGGTTTTAAAGGTACTAGCAACTGTAAGCTTGTTTCCAGTGTGATCCAATCAGAGACACTGATGTTGTGTGTGTGCTGATCTCAGGATTAACTTAGGAAGCATGCTCAGCTGCTGTCTCCAATCCCTTTGAAATCATGTCTCTGACACAATTTATACATATTTATATATACGTTTTGTTAATCAGTTAGTAGCTGATAGTCTCTTCAGATGTTTGAATATTTAGAGAACTGATATATATCCACATAATATGTGTGTTTGTTTGATAGTCTGATATATTTTGCTATGTATATATGGATCGATATTCCATTATAATTAGCCAATCATGGTAAGACTGTCTATTGATTTGTTCATTTTGAATATTCGCTCACACACTTGTGTTCACACACTTGTTCGGACATTCACACTATTTTGCTCTCACACTCTTGTGTGACATTTTTGATTCTCCTTGTGTTTTGGAAAATAGAAGTATCATCGCAAACCTAGTGGTCTTCTGATTTCCGTCTTTCTTGCGTCAGGACTATTAAATTCTCGACCAGTACATAACACTAATTTGGCGACGAGTACACAATAAGAACAAAAAGATCGAGCCTAGAAATATTTGCCTTTCAAATGGATCCTCATCTATCACTCTACTCTAATTTGTGTATGTATGTAGCAATTTTTAACATGATACAAATAAACCCACCAATGTAGTGGTTATAATTTTGTTAGCAATTATCAGTTGATATTAACATATCAAAGGGGGTGATAACTAACCAGAGGTAAAATGTTCACCAACCTCACAGATCCCTGGTTGGCGCACTCCTTAACCTCTATAAGCCAGTAATAAGATCGGTAAAGAGGAAAGCTAGGGAATGAGGCTAGCAACACCTCCCTCTTGATAGTGAAACCTCAAAACTGTAGCCTAAAGTCATATATTTCTCTTGGGACGTAATGAAATAATATGAAATGAAAATCATGTAGAATGAATACCACAACGATTGATGAACAAAACATTCAGATTTCAAAAAGTCAAAAAATTGAAAATTGGTATATTGCTTCCAAATGTCTCAGAGCTGAGAGATAATGATAATACGGCTTGTGATTATGGATTTTAAGCTTTTACAGGCCTAAGAGCTACGTTGCCTCGCATATTACCCATGAATCCTATAGTAACCACAGCAGGAGCTAAGTGGACAGCGTGAGCACGGGTTATACCATTTGCATAGCTCACTTTATAACTGAGCATATTTTTCTTGGATGTATACGGGATACTCATACTCTAAACTGATTGGCAAATTTATCTGCAGATTTCGGTAGAGACTAGAATAAAGTAATCTACATACTGGACAGTCAACTGTAAAACACATAGTCAAGTTTACCAGTCATATAATCAGTCGAATTCAGATCACTGAGGAGCTGAATTGTACAGTCAAGCTAAAATTTAATTACAGGCTAGACATATCCATTCGAACACGAAAATTAACTTTGACAATCTTTGCTGACACTGGAATACCTTCCAGCATTTGGCAACTCACATTTCAGTAGTATACTACAGGTCATACAAACTGAATGTTTTCTCTATACAACCTCAAGATAATGCACCCTTAAATATATTGGAATTTGTTCTTTTCACGATTAATATAGTTCACCTATATTATTATTTCCTTGTCTTCTGAGTGGAACACAGGCCGTCAGAAACACATTCCAACTTTGTTCTATTTTCCACTGTCGTCTTCAACTGGCTGATCGTTTGACAAGAATCCCTCATCTACTCCTCTCCAAACGATCTCAAACATGTCACCCTCGCACAAACAACCCATCCGTCGCTTCCTATTTGTATTACACTTAAGCAATGACATGCATGGCGCGCAATGTCATTCAACGGCCTCTTCAATGTATGCCCGACCAAGTCATCTCCATTTTCTCCTACATATCCGTTTAGCGATAGGCTCTCGCCTGTTGGTCTGTCACCAGCTGTAGTTTCTTGTTTCTAATTCTTTCTGTCCAGCCGCTGGCCATTTCATCTTCACCATGCAGTCAGAGAAGGAAATCTTTAGTGATAGTCTGTAATTGGCTGTTGAAAATCCCTTTCGTGACACTCTCACCACGTTTCTGAACCTTATAGAAGAATTGGCTGAGTGGGTGACTGAGTAACTGACTGACTTCACTGACATTTGTGTTGAAAATGAGAATCTCGTTTTTTTATGCTGAGGCGGAGTGCAGAAGATTTGTAAACTGGTTTCCGGTTGATGAAGGCGTGCATATCTCACCTCTCCGATTCTGGCTGGCTGGCTGGCTTTCACATCTGCTTCTGCATCCGTTCTGAATTCCTGTAGTTGAAACGATGCTTGCTAGCCGGATAAGTGGAGGGAGTAGACTCTGCCAAGTCTCGCCCATTGACGGTGACTGATTTGGGTTGTTGGTGTTGCTACAGTTGTTGTATGTTGGTTATCTGCATCACCTCCATCTCTATGTTCACCTGGAGTCCTATCTTCGCCATCTGATTCTGGAGCCAGTTTGTTAGTTTTCGCCTGACTTTAAGTCTTCGAGTTTGCGTGACATTAGACATGAATCATCCACACGTGAAATGCAAGACGCGTAGAGTTTTCTTATCGATGGTCTAGCGTATTCATGTCACCTCACTCCGAACACAGAGTCTGGCGTATTATGCAGTCAGGCACAATTAAAAATATCATCCTTGGTGATAATATGCAGGCTACCTTGTCTTACTCCTGTATTCATTGAATTTTTTTCTTTTTAGATCACCTGACACGTGGAATTTTCATGCAGCCAACTTTTAAATGAGGTAGATACAGATTTAGGGTACCGCACTCCATGATGCTGAAGTAGTTTTCAAATTACTTATCAGTCAACCCTATCTGGTGAAGGCCTTTTAGAATCCAATGAAAGAAGTCGAGGTAGACACAAGTGTGACTGCCATTCTACACTTTGTTCGATGACGATGATGCGTAGAGTCTGAATATGATCAGCGCATGAGTCGACTTTCCCTAATATAGCCTGTTCCTGTGGGTGCCGGAATTCTGAGTCCAGTGCATCCTTTATTCTCTCCAAGATGATGTCAAAAAGTATTCTACTTCGCGTGGATAAGAGCATGATTCCACTCCAGTTCTTTCATAGGCCCAAGATGCACTACTCTGGCAGCTTGACTAGGTAGCCAGCTTTTCTTCCAATTAGTAGGTACCTTTCCTTCTTTCCGGACAGTTTGCAAAAATGGCATCAGCAAATCTGCCGCAGTCTCTGGCTCCGTTTTCAATGCTTCGGGGGGAAAGCCATCTTGGCCTGCTGCCTTCCCGGCCAACGTTTAATAGCTAGGTCGATCTAGGACTTCTGCTTTTTTGGAGGATTGGTGTCCACTGGCATGCAATTTGGTTCATGCTGTTGGTAGTATTTCTGACCGAGTCACAGGTGATGGTCGATTAGAGAGTCCTTTAGAGTGATCAGCCAATTGTTTTATTTTTTTCTCCTCCTTGGTGATTAGTTTCTCTTGAGCGTGTTTTATTGGTATTATCATCTGGTTGGTCTCATCCCGGATAGCGAGCAGCCTGGTTATCTGATACAGAGTTCTGAGGCCTCTTTTACCCGCAGCCTGCATGTTCCGTTTCAGTTGTCAGTGTGTCTTTCCTAGCACTCTTCTTCACTTCTTTCTTTATTCAGTGCAGTGTAAATTGCTTTGAACTCACCTTCTTCTTCCGTTGTGTATCTTTGCATTGAGTAATCTTCTCTTTCGCCATCTTCCTCTTCTCTCCTCGCTTCTATTAGCTTCCAGGTAGGTATCCGTTGAGAGGCAGTCGTTTTCTGGTCTCTTCTCTCTTCCTAGAACTGTTTTACACGTTTCCTTGGACATCACCTCCAGAGAGTTAGTTCCAGTGTTCCTCCGCGCAGGTTTCCTCAGTAATGCGACGTCGCTCTGATACCTGCAGCGAATGCATCTCATGTAGTTTGGTCCTTCAATTTCTGAATGTTTAACTTGAATTACATCGGCTTGTCACCATTTGTTTTCATGGATTTCAGCTTCACTTTGAAGGTCCCTTGAACTAAATGGTGTATCAAGCCCACATCTGCTCCCCTTCTCGACTCTGTATCCAGCAGGCTGCGTCTGTACTTCCTTGAGATTGACATGAAATCTATTTGGTTTGTGGGGCGTCCGTCAGACGAAATCCATGTTGCTTTGTGTATATCTTAGCGTTTGTACACGCTGACCGAAATCACCAAATCACCGAAGGTGCAGAAGTCTGAGAAGAGTTCTCTGTTATCATTTATTTCTCCGAGAGCTTCTCGACCAATGATGACTTCTGTCCATGTACCGTCTGTTCCCAGCTTGGTTGGCATTCATATCGCCTATACGGATTTTGATGTCACCACTAGGGATGTTGTTTATTACTATTTGTAGTTGTCTGTAAAAATTTTCCATCTTCTCTTGTTTCGATTTGTTTATATCACTGTGCGTAGCACTGGACATCCATTCCTTTCATTTGAGTTGAATCTTGCTGTCATTATCCTGTGGGATGAGACTGGTTCCCACTGCATTAGTTCTTTGGCTTCCAATGTTGACATCATGACAGCCACTCATTGCCTTAGTATGCTCGTGGTTGTCATCTAGATGACCGAAGTAGATTACTGACTCTCCAGCTGGAAATTTCGACAGTCCGCATCCATTCCACCTGCTCTGGATGATATCCCACACTTGTATTCCATATCTTCTCATTAGCTTAGCTACCTGGGCAGCCTTTCCAGCTGACTGCGTATATTGTACGTCCATTCCACGCCATCATGTTTATTTTCGCTTTCATCTGAAGAAGGCACATCAGTTGGCTAACTGCCTTCCCGGAAGGCTTTCAACAACCATCTCTATCATTTCGCCTTCCCGATTCCAGCCAAGAATAAATTTGTTTGTTTAATTTTTTTGTATTTTTAACATATCTTTTGTACATTGAAATTTCTTTAGCAGTCTGATAGCTTTTGTGGTGTATGGTTGCTAGTTTCACGCCCAATCCTCTCTCTTTTCCCAGGATTAGTACCGGCTAGAAGTCTAGCAGGCTAGTTAACTAGGCGATGCTGTTCATCTGTATATTCTGGATAGATCTGGAAACGGTCAACCTCATTTTCATTTTATCACTTCTTGTTATCCTGTTTTGTGTGTTTATATATTTTGTTACTGTCGGACACCTTTTGAGGACACTTACACTCGGCCTCATGGCTCTTGAGCCGTCACCTTCAGTCACCAACTGATAGGCGAAAATATAGGCAGCTTATTATTATTATTATTATCATGTTGAGTATTTTTCGTAAAAAATCATATTTGTAAAATCCCAGCGAGATTAAAATGAGTAATTCCAATATTTCCAGTGTTCGGCAATCTCGTCCCAACTTCTACAGGGAAATTAATCGAAATTAACATAACAGAGGTTTATATATAAAAGGAACATGTCTTGGTTTTAAAAACTTTGTCCAATCATGAGTCATAAAACAAATATTAACAACAAGTATAATAAACAAAATTGTACGAGTTGTGATCAAAATTTGACCTCAGACTCACAAATATTGGTCTACCTTTGTTAAACACTTTAAACACAGTGTGTATGTATGTGTGTGTGTGTGTGGGACCAGATTGCCGAACGAAACTTTGGAATTAGTCATTTTAATCTCGCTGAGATTTTACAAATACGATTTTTTACGAATGTTTACTTCGCACTCGGCGCCCAAATAATTTAGAACTATTCGGTCAAATCTTGACGACAGTTCATTTGAATTGAGTATTTTTCATTTGCAATTAATTTCCTATCCAATTTTTGTTGAATCTCAACTGTGAAGAGTCTGATCCAATCAAGGAAACTGAACAGTTCAAAAAAAATGCTGAAGGAGTAAACAACACTTGTATCAGTCATCATATATGTTTGTGTAATACATTAAATCATAATGACTACCTAACGAAGCACAGTTACCAAACACCTTTATTAGACAATTATAATAAAAGCAGTAAAAAGATGATAAATCCACTAATGAATGCAATGGTCAATTTTCCGTGGAATTCAACGCTAAATAAACAAACACAAATGAAATTCATGTATACACTGGAAGACTGTGTAATCGACAGCATAAACCTAACAATGAATAATACTGAATTACAAACATTCGAAGGATATTTTAATATACACAGTGGAAAATCAACGAGTATATTGGATATACTAGACACATTCAACACTACTTCATGCACGTATATTACCATGTATGCAGTCGAAACTGTCATTTTATCATTGTCTAGTCTAACAGGAAGGAAATGCCTAGCAAATGGAAATAATCTAAGAAGAAAATATATTCCTAAAGCATTGGTGAATCAAACATTTCTACTCATTGGTAAGTATGTTACAGAATTATTCAATGAAAAATTATCTACCAAGCAACACAAAGTACATTTTTATGAAGTGAAAATCCAGGAAGCCAAGAAAGAATCAATTGAACAATTTTCCAACTGTTGTGAAATCTCCGAACATACTACTACTAATACACTTGCCAGTAATATAACTCGTAATTCCATAAACAAAATAAACGGTGATGCGCTTATAATATCACCAAATTGTAATGATTTACTACAACTTATAGACTGCAAACAGGCTTCAGTGAGGATAACGGAAGAAAATATTGAAGCAGTGCGAGACTGGCGCTTGCATCGACTGGTTGACAACAATCAAATGCCTTCATTGAATAATCTGACAGAGAATAAGGTGTCCGCTGAACACCATAAAGAATATTCAAATGAAGTACACACTATGCATAAGGAGCCGTTACATTTGGACAGTCTAGTGAAAACTATTCATTCGCCAAATGTTGAGATTAATAATGAAATATACAATTATTGTTATTGTTATTCATATATTACAAACAAACTGAATAATGATTATTTAAGGTCTGCTGATTATCATCAGAAATCTAGAAGTCTAGAAGAATTCAGTAATTTGAAAATATTTGATAATAACGGAGGTAATATACATTGTGAAACTATATCTTTACCCAATTTGTCTTCTGTAACGGATAATATCAAATATAATCAATCGAAAGTATCAGCAAATCGTAAACGTTACTCCACAATAAATAAAAATATTGATGACCATCTCTTATGGAATGATATTCCTTCAGAAGCTTTGAAAAACCATTTGGAACTTAACTCAAAGAAGCAGTCAATTCATGGTTTAGATCAGTGTTTCTTTAATACTGTCAGTTATAATGAGTGAGTGAAATTTTTAGTAAAGGTAACTTTGTTGGCTGAAAATTATGCCATCAAAATTTTTGATTGGAGACTAGTCAGTAACTAGTGTAATGTGCATGTGTGTGTGTGTGTGACTGTGTATCTAGTCCTATCTTCACTGCAGACTGAATTCTATCAGTCAGTCAAGCTTGCACTATATGGCCACCATGCCACTAGGTGGCTTACCATCACGGCACACTGTGAATTGTTGGTATTATATGGTTGGAAGCAATCAGCCACAGGAAGCCTTGCTTGACCTAGGCAATCACAATGTATAGCGGTAAGAGAGATTAAGTAAATTGATGAAAAACGTTAAAAATAGTATACATACTTTTTTTTTCTATATACCTAATTACTTACCGCATGATAACTGACCGGAAGATTTTGTATTTGTGTAACACATTTCGAACAGTCTGGTCACATATGGAGTATACGTGTGTAATTAATAAAAATTTGATATGTGAGAAAATAGACTTAGGTCAAGTTAAAAGGGCATATTGCAGGTCAAAATAACAATGAAGACCAGTGAACCGAATAAGAGAGGTCATGTGTGGTGGTGTGATACAGAAGATGTGATCCAACCGATTATTATTATTATTCTCACAAATTCCTACAGTTCAATACAATATAAGTCTAATACAATGCAGTTCAAATACAATGCTAAATATGTAATTGAACATTTTATTTCATGTTGTCAAATGTAAACACAAAAATCACAATCTCAGTGATTGGTTAAAGAACATAGAACTGCATATGTATAAGTAATGGTTTGATCACTTGAAAATATACCTTGGCTTCAATGTCTTGTCTTCTGTTGTTGCAACAGTACATCTACGATGGTATCAAAACAAAGTTTACTAAGGAACGTTTAGTGTGATGATGAATTGTTGCTTTGAACGCATAAAGGTGGTTTAAACTTCCTAGTTGGTTGACTTTTACAAACTTTAAGATATACCCCAAACACGTTTTATGGATGGATAGTTTTAAAGGATGTGTTAACGTCAATTTTATGTTCTGTCTGTATACTGTTTTGCAATAGGGGATTAGGGCTCCTGTTCTCACCGTTAATGGGTTTTGCTGACTCTATTTGCTTCTGAGGCCACTCAGGACTATGCTCTGAAATCCTTACTTGCAGAGATCAACGAGTCCTCCCAATGTATATGTGTCCATACATACATTCAAATTGGTAAATACAGTGGGATGTGATGTCATTTTTCGCATGTCCTAAGGGGTTAGATTGATATATCGGCTTCACATTCTCATGTATTACTATGATCTTAGCTGCATACAAAGTCTTTTCAACCACAGCGTTCAATCTTTGTCGAATTACCAAGCTGCTATTATCACCCATATACGGTAGCTTGATGTACACGCCTTTCTTAGCGGCGGGTTGTTGAGTAGGTCTTGATGTTCTGTTTACTTTATATCTCCTAATGAACTTCTCTGGATGGTTATTATCAACCAAAGTTTATGTCAAGTTTCTTTCTTATTTATCAAGTGTGCCCGTTTTCAGAGCATATTCATTGGATTCTAATGAAGAGGAACCTTATTAAGGCTCTTTTGTACTGAACAGGGCAGAAACTGTGATAATTAAGATATTGTCTTGTCCAGGTGAGTTTTCTATAGATAGATCGTCTTATTGATCCATCAAGCCGTTGACTAAGCAGTACATCTAGCAAAGGTAAACAGTTACCTTCCTCTGCAGACGTAAGTGATATGCTATTCTGAACTTCATTCAATCGATTTAAAATTGAGTTGACAGAACAAGGCTTATCACTTATGATTACAATGTCATCTGCACACCTTTCATAAAGTGGCGTATTTTTGATTAAATCCTTCCATAAAAATTCTGAAAATGCATGTGAACCTGACGAAATACCCTTCGATGATAAGGCGCACAGTTATTGTTATTATTAAACTGAGAAAAAACAGCAACAACAACATCAACAATAAGTGTTGCTGTTTATATTACTCCATTAAATTGCACCCTTGATTTTTGTTTTTGTTTTTTTAAAAGCCTTGATTCTGTTTACAGTATTTTCTGTTGTTGTTGTTGTTGGTTTCCATTGTTAGAAGAAAGTTAAGCGATACCCTCGTAGCATTGGAAAGGTGTACACTTTGAAAAAAAAAGTACATTCACTCTCGTCGATTTTTGTTTTTATCTGCATTGATGGATTAAGACTGTCTAACCTGAAATTTTGCAGTTCTCCCTTTAGGCAGAATCCTCACAGTTCACTGTATATTCAAGTTAGCATTGAACAACAAGTTCTCCAAAGGGTTAAATAGAAGTCCCTCAGTTCACAGGATTTGACTTACAGAATACATTTTTCTAAACTAGAAAACGTTATTGTGCTGTAAGACAAAGACAGACGACACTGGCAAATGTTTGTTGGCATCTCTTTAATCCGACTCTATCTCCCATTTACTCTCTACTTTGTTTTTTTTAATTACAGATTAGAAATCGATCATTTATTGATGGAAACATTCCCACTGTCTGTTGGTGTTTATTCACCCCAGATAAATAGTATAAGTGAAATTTCCTCTGTTTCATCAGATCAATTAACAACGCAGAATAATATTTATTCACTGAGCAGACAACAGCTGAACAGTCCGGCTGTACACAATAGGGATAATAATGCTGATGATGATAAGATGGTTGTGCAGAATGTTGGAGACATTCAACTGGAGGAGGAGGAGGAGCACGTACATCACCTTCAAAATCAACACAATGAATTAAACAGAATTGATGAAAAAATCAGTAATCCAGTCAAATGTAATAAGTCAACACAAATCAATGCTTATTCATTACACAACCAGTTCAAACACGTTCATACGAAAAATGCATGCGAATCTGGTGAAATACTCTTCAATGATGATGTGCACAGTTATCGTCATTATTATTATGCTAAGAGAAAACAACAACGACAAGGACAACAGCTAAAAAAAGTGAAAAATGACCACTTGGAGATTGATAAGGCAACCAGTAATAATAAACAGATTCAGTTACCTAGACAAAAATCATTGCACCTAAAGATGAACGGTTTAAAATTATGCCTTAATAATAATCCTGAATTAAAATCAACTATTTTAAATAGTCATAATAATTGTAAAATTAGTGATTTGGATAAAACCACAGGAAAAATTCAAATCGACCAGAAATTTAGTAGTAATTCAGTTAAAAATAATGACGAAATATTAGGCCGTACAACAGTGATGAGTTTATCGATGACACCACCACCGATAGTGACAACACCTTCATCGTGGACAAGACACGTAAAAGAGAAACGCCGAAAAGATTATAAATTCAAACAAAAGAAATTATTCCAACTTGATGGCAATAATGATACATGTGAGGCTTGTAATAAATCTAGGTTGGCTAAGCGAAACAGTAAAATACTTGGGGAGAAATTCAATTACCGAATTCCATTACTGAAACTGGAAGTAACGCCGACAATCAATGAAACAATAGTAGATTTAACATTGAACATAGAAACAAATAAAAGTGTAAATAATGCTGGCAGGAGTAGTAGCAGGAGTGGTAATAATAATAATAACAGCAATAATAAAGATCAGACGATTGCAAAACCTAAAATGGAATGTGATGATGATGATGATGATGAGACAAAGTCAACTGACCAATGTTCACTGACTTCCAAATCGGTTAAAACCAGAAGAAATGTAACGAAAAAGAAAAACTCTAAGCAGTCATTACGTTATGCTTTAAAGTCTCTGTTGCCAGCAGCAACGAGGTTAACAACATGGAGATTAAAACAAAGGATAAAAAGCGTAATTATAAAACCATTTCAGAGGAATTAAGTTTTCTTTTATTATTTTCATTTGTTTTGTTTAATTAGTATGTGCATGTACACTAATCTTCAACTTTTCTTTGACGTATTTATTTGCACATCATTTCTTTTCTCTCAGATTTTGTTGTTTGTTTTTTTTGTTATTTTTCAATACTGATATCATCCTGGACTGCTTTATTATCATCATCACTATAGTTACAGAGTCGGAAACAAATTCAATGCCCTACATGCCTATAGAACAAAGAGAAAAAATAAAGGATGATTTCGTTTAATTAATACACTGAATATATATACAGAAAGGGAAAAAGACGTGAGCACTAGATCGACGTATGTGTAAATAACATATAATTATTTTAAAAATTAATTTGCTTCAACTGAATATATTACTAAAAAGATATATCAGTAGTAATTCAAAAGTTTATGTTAAACTGCATAAACTGCATTATTGCACTACAAGTAGTAGTAATATTGTGAACTCATCTATCCTATTTTGTTATATCTCAAAAATTTTCGACAACTGCATTCATTATTCAAGTACCTTTTGTTCTTTATATTATCCATGTAATCTTTACAATAAATATTTTGGTGTTTTGCTGAATGAGGTTTGAGATTTACCTATGCATAATTAATTTATCGATAGGTTTAATTTTATAAAAGGGTTATAATCCAAAAGGAAATTTATTCGGCCAACTTTGATCATAGGTGCTTACAGTCTATCCCGTGTGTTAGGTAGTGTAATATGGTAAGTAACTTTGTGGTTAGACGTCCAGTGTTAGGTAAGCAGGCCAAGAGTCTATACAGATGAAGTTGTGAAGGGCACGTGCTGGACATACCGAACTACTGTGGTGAGAGCAGGCTGCTAGCCGATTGGTTGACACTAAGCTACGTTAATATGGGCCGTGAGAAAATATGAACAAGGCTGAGTCAACAACCAATCACAGCAAAGTTAACGTGGCAAAATATGATTCGCAGATAGAGAACTCTATTTGTCAAGAAATCCCGAAACAACCAATCAGAAGCCTGCGTTTGTCTTCCTAACTTCTGATAAACAACCAATCAGATGACTGCGCTTGTCTATAATAATGTATGTGAAATATGTATAAATACGTGTTGATTTTCATAATAAAACGATCTGTTGCCTGGCCCTTGTCTTCTGTTGTTACACTACTACCCTCCTAGTCAAGCAATATTACCTGAGATCCAAATGTGCCGGAATACAGTTATGGGTTGTCAGATAAACACCTGTTGTTCTGAGCCAACCACGTAGAGTGCTGTAAATTGCTTGACTGAGGTCTTCTGGATACTATGAACGAATGGAGTGAAACTGTTGCTACTATAGTTCAGAATCATTCTCAGTAGCTCAGATGCATTTACCTTTTTTGACCTCTAAATCCATTAAATAGTGATTATTCACTGTGTTCTCATTATTTAGCCTGCACACTTCTATTTTTATAGTTTTCTTTTTTTCATTTCTGTATTTCGTTTCCTTTGTTTATGTTAAAATAATGAAGTCTAGTCACTCAAACTGCTGCACTCGTATGCAGCATTCTAAATTGAAAATATAGTTTAGTTCAGGTAAGTTCTGATGACAACAGATGGTTTTTATTTCAGTGTGCACCTATGACGCCACTATGAATTGGGCAAAGGATTTTCAGGTAACGAGGCGAGGCTACTGACCACTTAGTCACAGCGTTGTTCTACATTTTCACTACCATCTAATTCCTTCCTTCTTAGGAAACAACACTAAGGTACGAAAAGAAACAAAGCAGCTGAAGATGATTTATTCAGGAAATTTCGGAATCTTGATCAGCTGGGGCGGTGAGAACAAGTTTGTCGCATTCGTTGATAAAACACGTAAATTAAAGTAGGATGAAATGGAAAGAAGTCAAGGGTAGTTTGTGTAAAGTGTCACACCACCCCATGACGTCGATGTATGGCTTTCATTAATAAAATTTGCTGCTGATAGGGTTGAATAAAAACAGATCAGATTTTCCTGATAGCATATGCCATCAAATTAATGGTGTGGATTTTTGGTTTAAGGGAATATTGTTTTGTATGGAGGATGAGTCAGTCAGCAGAGTTATGAAATGACACGAAAGTGAATTAACGCCCCACTGGACAAACAATGACTACATGTCATCAAACCGAAACAAAACACCGGTTTATGAAACCACTGACTGGTGTTATGAACTATGTTGGGGGGGGGGGCGGGGGGGGAGGGAGATGTTGAGAATGACCAGTTAATAACTCACTGTAATATGGCTTCAAGTCATTTACACTATGTCATCTTCCTCACTTTAAAAACCTTCATTTTGACATCTCTTATTCTGTGTGCCTCTTCTACGATTTCGTATGACTTTTTGAAATGTATTAAGTTATACTGATTCACTAGAGTAAGTTATACATCAGTACTTCAACCAATCAAGACAGTTATCTATATATGCATCCGTAAAGATAGTCAAGTTAGGTCACATGCCATTTGTTCGAGTGGAAGCCGAATAGGAAACGACAATTTTTGGGATAAGGTTTTCAGAGTGATCTGAATAGTCATGGAGTCATTTGAGCGTAATAAAGATGTGCTGTCTAAGCTATAGGTTCCATTTAGAAGGTAGGGAATGAATGACAGTACACTATTTCATCTTATCCCTTCTCTCTTTTGCTGTTTGCTTCATGTGCGGATGATGAATGTATGAAGTTAAAAATACCCAAGCTGCTGACTGTAGAGTCTTTCAGACTTCATTCTAATGAAAAAAATTGAGGGTAACTGTACAAATAAAATAAAACCTGTAAAAATTACAAACACAGTCTTCAAAAATCTGAACTAACGAAGAAGACAGTTCATAGGAAGTTATATATGTAATGAGTGTATGAAGCCATCTCAAGTTGAAAGCCAAGATATAGGGAAAAAACTTAGGAATTGTGGTAGAGTATGTGCATCCTTTATTCTCTCTCCAGGATGATGCCACTTATCAATCAACTTGAAGTGGACAAGAGCATTATTCCACGCCAGTTCTTCCACAGGCTTAAGTTGCCCACCCTTGGTAGCTTGATGAAGTAGCTTTTTCCCACTTTTTGGGCACCTTTCCTTCTTTCCAAACCGTCTGCAGGAATGGCGTCAGAATATCCACTACAGTCTCTGAATCGGTTTTCAGTGTTTCACGGGGAATTCCGTCTGGTTCTGTTATGTAGTAATGTTGAACAGTTCTCAAAAAGCTGAACTATTATGAAGTCTAGAAATGATAAGCAACAAGGAACTCTAACAATGAACCAGTCAGCAGTCTTTCGCCCAACAAATCTGAAAAAGGTTAATTGAACATACACTAAGGAGACTTTCAAGTAAAATCGCTAGTCAAGCGCTAGAGCAGAACCCCAGTGAAAAGCGACAAGATGGGTGTCGGAGAGTGACGTGGTGGAGATCATATCAAAAGGAGATGTAAACAAGTATGCAGTCGTGGGACCACTTAAAAATGACCGCAAACAAAACCATATAGTATAGGTATGCTTCTATAGTCTTATATTCAATTTGATTGGTTGGAGGATGTCATCTTGAGCTAACATCAGTTAGAGAACCTTTGGAAAACCTGCAGAGAGTAGTGAATAGCCATTTCATCCTGGCTTTGGACTCCTTATCAGTACACACCCACCGGAGCTCGAATCCAGCACCTTCTGGTTACAAGGCGAGCTGGCTCGTAGACTATCAAGCCACTGAAACTCGATCCAGTGGCCCATGAATTCTTCTGCCAATTCATGACATAGCGCGACCGCTTCGCAATGCCTTCTTCGGTGAGTTACTGCCTCACCTTCAACGTGCTGCACCCTACTGGTCACGCTTTCCCAACAGAACCCCAGGTGACTGCCTGAATGGGCCAGACGCTAGTGAGCATCAGATCAATTTTCAAGTATTAAATCGGGTCCCAGTGGCTGAGCTTGCCTTGTAACCTGAAGGTACTGGATTAAAACCCTGGCGGTGGGTGTTTACTGATGAAGAGTACCAAACGAGGACAACGAAAAAAGCTGTCCGGTACTCCAAAGGTTTTCCAGTGGTTCTCTAACTGACCTCAGCTCAAGAGAAAATCCCTACAAAAACCAATACTTGAAAATTATATTCGACTTAGAAACCAAGAGATGAATAATGACAGGAATCCTTTGGTTATCAAGGATTAAATCACTGGAACAAATTATCAAAACAAAAGACCACAACATATCAAATAACATCATGTAGAAAGTGAGACGGCTAACGAAATTTAGGACAAATGTTGGTGTTATATTCTAATGACTAGACCATTTAAACACAATCTAGAAATATTCCAGTAAATGGGATTTATTTACTACTTCGACGTTTCAGATACCGCGCTTAGCGCCTTATTCAGCACTTTATATCTAAACATTAGTTATATGTAAATTTTCTGCCTTGTTCGATAGCGATTATCTGTAGCTTCTGTTGGAGTTTCAGATGTTTCATAACCCAGCAAAATCTGTTGTATTCTAATACAGGCTGGATTCAGGAGAAACAAGTCACGTATTGATCAAATCGCCACACTACGGATCATCATTGAACAAAGCTTGGAATGGCAGTCACCTCTCTATCTCAAATTCATCGACTTTGAAAAGGCCTTCGACAGCGCAGCGTTAATCGAGAGGTCATTTGGCAAATACTTCGCTCCTACGGGGTGCCACCCTCAATTATGCATCTACCCAACAGTTGTACGACAATGCTGCATGCCAATTGATCCACCACGGGAAACTTAAGGAATCCTTCGAAGTGAAGATGTGGGTAAGACAAGCTGGCTGGCTGCCTACCATGTGCAATGATTTTCTTGATTGCGGTAGAGTGGATGATGGGATAGATAGCGGACAGCGAGGAAACAGGCATAAAATGGACCAACACAAAATAGAATTTAGAGGATCTGGACTTCGCCGATGATATCTGCCTGATTTCCCATAAACTGGAATATATGCAAAGGAAAAGCGACAAGCTGGCAGAACAAGCATCCAGCGAAGATGTCACTTCAGGTGAACAGAGAGAAAACAGATGTGGTGATGAAGATTCCCGGCCAACACCAATAGCAACAACAACAGACAAAAATTAGCATAAATGAGAGGAACCTGAAAGAAACAACCTCCTTTACCTACCTTCCCACCTGAGATGCATCGTTTCAACTACTGGCGGACATAAACGACGAGAATATCAAAGCAAGGATCATCGAGAAAGCGAGATAAGCTTTCATTACTCTCAAGTTTGTATGGAAGTCAACAGCACTGTTCAGCATGAATATAATAAGATCCGGATTTTCAATGTGAAGTCAGTGCTACTTACCAAACGGATCAGAGACT